TACTGGATACACACACACCTTTATGTCATGTAAGTGAAATTCAATCAAACTTTGGAAATAGCACCAGAGTACACGTGTATTAAGACACTGCGTTTCTGATGAATTATAGATGTCAGTAGGTGTATTGACAACTTCCAAGCTACCTGATGAAAGCACACAAAGACTTCAGTTCACATACACTCAGGTGAAAATTCCTTACGATCCCTAACACATAAAACATCAATCCCACTTACTCTTTCAATGCCGAATTGGTTTTGAGGATTTAAACTGGCGACTTTTCACCTGACTCACTGACATGGGAAGGATTTAGAGCTGGACGTGAATAGTTAGGACAATTACCTGAATCTGGTGTTTACAGTTTGGTCAAAACCTACCTGTATGGCATTCTTCAGGTAAAATCGCTCCTTGATATTGGAAACATTTTGACCGTACCTTATGCATTGCTTTACATTTCTCCTCTGTCCCTACTCACTTCTTTGCTTCGAGATCCCTCTCACTTCATCTGACCTACTTCTCAATATCTTAACCTTCTTCCCAAACATCTTCTTTCCCCATCTCCATATTCTTTCCCCTTCCTTCCCTCTCCTTACATTTTACTTTTCCACACCTTCAAATTTTTTCCCCTTTCCTTTATTTCCTCCCCATTATCTATCCCCACATGTCTTCCTTCCTCTTCACCTTTCCTTCCTACCCCCTTTCCTCTTTCTTTCCCCCCTCTAACTTCTTCCCTTTCTCTTTACCCTTAATCCTCCTCTCTTCTTCTTTTCAATCTTCTCGAACCTTATTTCTCTCTCCCATCCCCTCAAACCTCATCTCTTTCCCTCCCACCCACCATTTTGAACTGGATTCCTACCTCCCCGTCCTTAAAACCTGATCCCTTACTCCCACTCCCTTTAAACCTGATCCCTTACTTCCACTCCCTACACACCTGATCCCAATGCCTCCCTGTCCCTACAAACCTGATCCCAATGCCTCCCTGTCCCTACAAACCTGATCCCAATGCCTCCCCCATGTTCTTCCCTCCCTGTATTCCCATGTGTCCTTGTCAACGCCTGACACTGATAACTACAAGCAGCAACTGTAATCTGGTGAAGTTGGGCCAATGTTAACGTCAATGTACCTTAGAGCTCTCTCAATGGATTCTACACCGGGTGCCTAATTCATTCATTGTCATCCTTGGTGAGCAGTAGTATTGTGCTTATGTTTGTGCTAATGTGGCTGTCAGGAGTTACGACTTGCTTCAGCCCGACAAATTATTCACTATATCCAAGTTATAATAATACAAATACCTGTATGACAGGAGCTGACCGAGATCTAGATTTTAACAGCCTTTCAAGGTATGATGTTTCAGTGTTTGTTACGTGGTATGCTCTCCGGTTTTTATAGTCTTTATTAATACATTCAACTACTCAGTGTGTTGTGATGTGTCGGAGAAGGTATCAGGTAATTAATTGTTTTAGATGCCATGTGAATTTACACCTGTGCAATTTTGACTACAGGTAGATGTGTAAGCTGAGGACAGGGGTTTGTTTATGTGTGGCCTGTGGGATACTTAGTATAAGTATAACTCTGTGTGTGTAGAGAGGGGGGGGGGGGGGGGGGGGGGGGNCGATGGATTTGGAGCTGAGGAAAGGTGGGTGTTGATTGATGTGTAGCATGTAAGATACCTAATAACTCTGTATGTGTGGGGTAGAGAGGGGGGGGGGGGGGGGGGGGGNATTTGTAGCTGGGAACAGGTGTGTAGATATGTGTAGCATGTGGGAGACTTAGTATAACTCTGTATGTGTGATGTGGAGAGGGGGAGAGGCTGACATCAGGTAGATTTGTAGCTGGGGACAGGTGTATGATTAGGTGTAGCATGTAAATTAAAAGACTCAGGATAATGTTGTGTGTGTGTGTGTGTGGGTGGGGGGGAGGGAGGGGGGCTGATATCAAGTAGATTTGTAGCTGGAGACAGGTGTATGTATACGTGTAGCATGTTAATATAAAGACTCAGGATAATGTTGTGTGTGTGTGTGTGTGTGGGTGGGTGGGAGGGAGGGAGGGGGGCTGATATAAAGTAGATTTGTAGCTGGGGACAGGTGTATGTATTCGTGTAGCATGTAAATATAAAGACTCAGGATAATGTTGTGTGTGTGTGTGGGAGGGAGGGGGGCTGATATCAAGTGGATTTGTAGCTGGGGACAGGTGTATGTTTGTGTGTGGTGTTTGATGGACATATAATGTTACTGAGCAATGGGGGACATCAAATAGATGTGTAGCTGGGGGACAGACATGTGTTTATACCTGTGGAATGTGAGGACCTCTCTGTATAGGTGGAGGGGAGGAGGTTTTAATGTTCTCAGCCTAACCAGTGTGAGTTTAACATCTTTAAGGTGAAGAGATACAGGACTGTGTCCTCCCATGTAATTTTGTGTTGTATCACCTGACTACCATATTATGCAGTCAGAACTCCCATGTCCTATTTTCTGCACCTGATTTCTCTTATTTTTTCAATAGGACAAGAATCAGAGTAACCTGATTTATTTCCAAGTTTTGTCAATTGGTTCAACTAACAATGAGATAGCAAGGTTCAACTGTAGCACTTTATAAAGGACAAGCTGACTTCCTGTTGATCAGGATATTTGTATTCCATACATTTACATCTTTATATACTGTGTTTGTCCCAGTCGGGGTGCCTGCTCAATTAGGGCACCCTAAGGATTTAAAAATTCAACTTAAGTGCTTTTTATTCCAGAATTTTCCGTTTCAGATTTTGTAATTTTCAAAAGGTTGTTGGTCTTGACAACTTTTGCCACCAAAATGGCCACGTCATAAGTTCAGATATTAAGAATTTAGATGAAAACAAATCTGCCATGGATTATTTTTTATTGACACAATGACCAATGGAATGATATACACTGTTTTATTAATCAGGAATTCAACTTTGGATATAGAGACCATCATGTCGCTAAAGCTACCATGGCAGGGGGAAAACAAAAATTTCAAAAAAAATGAGGTTCTTATATACCGCTTTATAACAACCTAGTTCGTAGGTCGCCTCAAAGCGGTTCACAAATTATTATCCGTGGTTATAGGGCCTTTGCAACCAGCCAATATCTTTCTCAACTCCCCGGGGAGCATACAGCCGGTGCTGCCATTTCGGCGCTCACAGGTAGCATTCAACAATTCTAGCACTGCCCAACCATGTACTCAAGCGGAGTTAAGTATATGTATCTTGCTCAAAGATACAACACATTGCCGTGCCGTGACTCGAACCCGCAACCCTTCAGTCACGAACCCGGCGTCCTACCACTAGGCTACCGTGCCTCCTAACAAATAACAAAATATATTGAACTGTTTATCGGAACGAGATTGAAAAAAAATACAGTACATTGCTATTTGTTGATAGTAACTGAAATATGACATTAAGTGGAATCCAAATTAAAGAAAACTTCAAACACAGTGTAACACCTGGAGATAGAAATCTTAGATGAGCTTTATTAGCAGAAATATGTTACAATATCAAGTCAATCTGGTTGTGAAAAAAATTGTTTTATGAACTCTTGAAAAATATTTATATGTGTATCAGGTATAGCTATATATAGGCATACTAGAGTTTAAACAAAATCTTTAGTTGTCGTATTTATGCAGATTGGATTACTGGTACCAAAAATCTATACATACGTTGGTGGGCGTGTGTGAGGCATCTGAAAACAATCTTCAAAATCTTTCTGCACCAAATGGTTCTAGTAATGAGCTTCAAAGTACTCTGAAAATGAGCCCCTTAGGCCTCAAAGAGCTCTTGAAACAAGCCTCTAATGTATTTTTTTGAAATGAGCCTCAAAGAATTCTTGTGACATGTCTCAATGATCTTTTTTAATGAGTCTTAAAGTACTCTGATAATGAGCCTAAAAGAGCTTTTGCATTGACCTCAAAGAGCTCTTTATATGAACATTAAAGAACTCTGTAATGAGCCTAATAGAGCTGTTGTAATGAGCTTCAAAGAACTTTTGTAATGAGCCTTAAAGAGCTCTTTTAATGAAACTCATAGAACTTTTGTAATGAGTCTTTTTTGAGCTCTGGTAATGATCCTCAAAGAGCTATTGCATTGAGCCTCAATGGAGTCATATGATGTGCTTCAAAGAACTTTTGTAATGGGCCTCAAAGAGCTCTTTTAATGAAACTCAAAGAACGTTTGTAATGAGTCTTTTTTGAGCTCTGGTAATGATCCTCAAAGAGCTATTGCATTGAGCCTCAATGGAGTCATATGATGTGCTTCACAGAACTTTTGTAATGGGCCTCAAAGAGCTCTTTTAATGAAACTCAAAGAACTTTTGTAATGAGCCTTAAAGAGCTTTTGTAAAGAGTTATAAAGAACTCTGATAACAAGACTCAAAGAGCTGTGGCAACAAGCCGCAAAGAGCTCTTGTAATGAGTTTTAAAGAACAAGCACTAAAGAGCTCGGTTGATGATATAAGCTCTGGATAGTTCTGGTATTGTGTCTTCGTTGTTTGACGCCATTTAGATCGTTTGGTGGTACAAACTTTCGTGGATATCATTCGTTAACAAACATTAGACATGTGTATCATTCAAATTTGATGTATTTATTTTCGTGGTTCTATACCAACCACGAAAACCATGAATGTTTATACACAACAAACATTTCATGATATGCAGTATATTATTAGGTTTTGTAGCTTATCAGAGTTATGAACCTGAGTAGATATAAATAAGATAATCTATGCCCGGCAGTATGGTGCAAGATATTTTGATAAACAATTAAATGAAGCTGATGATATGAATTTCTACTTTGTGCATATATTTACATATGTTTATGCTTAAATACAACATCAAAAAGGAAGTTGAATTTGTGAAAAATTGAGTCACTTCCACTGACTAACATATATAGGGGAACCATTGGAGTAAGAACACAGACTACAGGTTGGTGGAGAGACTACAAAAAGAGGTATATTTTTGTGTGAAAGTTAGTAACAATCCTGCTTTTCTTCTTCTTCCAGATGAGACACAAGGCGACGGTGATGTTTGCAAATCAATGAAAAAACTGTAGTGTGCGGCATAAAAGTATTTATACGAGCAAGCTGTTACAAGGCTGTTAACTGTTTCGAACAAATTCAGAGGTTAGTTGCACCAGATATGGAAGATTTTCATTTGTTATAAATATAATGCCGATTTTGGCAAGAGGTCCAATGGCCCGAGTGTTCATTTTCTCGTTCTCAGTCTAAAGCATTGTATCTAAGTTTCACTTTAAGTCAGGTTGAACATCCCACATTTACTCATAGCTTTTGGTATCTGTTTACATCATAGTCAGTAATGTTGGCTTTTAACTCAAAGACAAAAAAATATGTTTAAATTAACACTTTCACCTCTATGTAACTTTAGTAGACTCTGCCATACCTTCATATTTATGCTATAAGGTACTGCATTACTTATATGTTAAAAAGAAAAACAAAACTGTGAAGAAAAAAAGATACATTTATCAGTTTGTTACCTGGATATTGAAAGTGCAGTACTAAAAAGTGTTGAAATCTGGTTGTAGAAGACGAATATGTTATTAACCCCCATTTTAACCCTTTTTCACTGTAAACTATAATGGACTCATCCAAGGTAAAACATGGTAGAGTCTACATAAGTTACATAGGGGTGAAAAGATTAAGACAGCTGTATGAGTAAAGGGGGGTGGG